CACTCCAAACCCTTCGATTTTGGCTCCGAAAACAGATGCCGTAGCAGATTTTATTTCCCTTTCCGGTGAGCATGCTGAATTTCACACCAAATTTCGGCGACCACCGTCGAATAAAACTGCCTAGCACCACCATTAATGGGAAGCTAACTTCTCGAGGTTTGTAACAGTACCTTCTATCATCAATACTCCACCGTTAACACCTCCGTTCATTTAATTCTTTGAAGAGCCAAAAGTTGAACACCAGATAACGGCCACCATCGGCGACCTCTGCCGGAAATCACCAACACCGGTGTACATCTGAACCCACAATTATTCCAAAGGTGGGTCCTGATCGACGAGATTCATTCTCGAAGGTCTCCAAACTATTATTTTTCCTTAAAACCCAAATCTGAAATTATCTTTTCAAATCCCAATTCTTTTCCTGTAATCAAATCTTCCGAATCTCCTGAATGAATTCGAGAATTCTCGAACAGGGGTAGGAACTAGGGCTTGGAGAAATTGGGTGAAATAGGCGAATACTTTTGGGGAAAACAAAAGAGGTAAGATAAGAGGGATTTTGGTGCAAACATAATGAAGAAATTAGGAGATAATTTTTTCTTGATTTTCTGTAATATTATGCGAGAATGGGTAGAGGGAGAAAGAGAGCGTAAGGAGAGAATGAACGGAGTAATATTCTGTGATGAAGAAACGAAAGAATTATAAATGGCTGTATTTTTTTTATTATTTGCATTTTCGCCCCCATCTTTATTTTATTTTCTTTTCTTTCATTGATTTGTTTAAAAACTAAACTAGTGACCAAATTCATTTGATTTCCGTAAGTAGTTTCATAGTAACCAAATTCAAGTAGTTGCTAGCAACCCAATTAAATGGTTGTTAATAATTAAATTAAAGACTCGTAGCAACCGTAAAAAAAATTGATGTTAACTTGGTCGCTATTGACACTAAGTTATAGTGACCATAAAAATTGTCGCTACAAACTTTAACTTTAGTTGCTACAAGATGTCCAACTATTAGTGACCACATATAGCTACCAAATGCTCGCTGGTCGCAAAAAGATTTAACCCTTCCCACTTTTGCTACAAAATTACTTTTGGTCACTAAATGTGAACATTCAGTGACCATTTATTTATGGTCGCTAAGAATTTGGTCGCTGAAACTAGTTTTTCTTGTAGTGAAAAAAAAAAAAAACAAAGCGGCAATATCTAAAATGATGACGAGATCATGATGTCATAAATCCAGAGCTATGATGATAATAGGATTTTATTTATTTAATTTAGGATCGTCTTTTTTTGTAAAA